TTATTTCAAAGAATAGCTAGTTATTTTGTGAAATAACTCATCAAGTCAATGTATAAAAGTGTATAATATTCGCTCCTCGATTAGTTATTTTATTAATTATCAGATACTAGACAGTTAAAATTTTAAATGAAAAATTTAACTAAATATACACCATGCAAAATCAGGTAAAATCTTGTTACAACAGGGATTATTAAAATGGCCTTTGGAATTGCAAATAACTTGATAATACACCTTTTTACCAAACAAATATTTTTATTGACACACTGACGCTGTTTAAACTTTAATCTGTAGCAAATGACCGGAATGATTTCTTTATAATCGATCTTCGAGTAGTTTCTGCTACAAAAATATTGCTCGTAAATGTCTGAATTCGAAACGTTAACTGTAATCATCTGCAACATAGTAACTCTTACTAACAAGCGGGCTGAATCATACTTTTTGAGGCCCACCAGCGACTGAGCGGTAAAATTGCTGGACACTAGTAGTTCCTACCTGCGTTTGTTTCCAGGCGATTATCAATTATTTCACGAAATGGCTTGGTACTCTAACTACGATTTCCCACTTTAACGATAAAATATATATTAATATTTCCTTTGTGTTTTAAAACGTATTTCCTTAGATGTTAAGAATATTATAAGATAAACTTTATTATATAAAAAGAAACTGAAAGCTTTCAGATTTTATATTACACCCAAAGGAGCCTTTTTTTTAACGTTTTGAGTGTTACCTTTATTTATCATGTTCTTCGCACTTAAATCATAAAATTCAACTCAACAGCAATATCACAAAACAATTTAAAAAGAGCATATCTTTAGAATTTCCGGTACATTGTCTCGCCTGCTGGAGATAAAAATGTTTTCTTTTTTCCGTACAGTGTTGCCATTGCTCGCTTTCAAATCGTTGAGTTTGTTAATCAAAATTTCTCTAAGGTTTTACAAAATATGGAATAGATAATAAAACAAATTCCAAATTTGTGGGCTTTCAGATGCCCATATTCGAATGGAGGACTACGTTATTCAAAATTGGATGTCTCTAGGTACCACTGTTTTTTCACACTGCGAGAAAAATACATACATTCAGGCGTATTCTTCATTAGTTAATTTCTTTAAATATCAAACAGGCTCTAATATTTCGTGGCAGCAATTCGAAAAGTGAAACTCCATTTATAGTGAACCAACGCAAAATACCAAAACGAAATTAATAGCTCTTCTGGAAAAGAAAAATTAATAGCTCTTCTTGGCCCTTTAACTTATTTTTCCTTGCATATCACTTAATACACCTCTCTTTTTTTTTTTTTTTAACTTGGATTTAAACTTCAATAAATGGACTTCAAAATTAGCCTGCCCACTTGACATGATTAATTCCCGAATCACCGTTACACATTTCTGTAATTTGATTTCACTTTAAGTGCCAATGCCGTTTACTTACTAGATAATTTGTTGACTCTATTAGGCCATGCATTCTACTTGTAAATTATTTCTGACTGAAGCAAACCAATAACAGTGATTTAGGAATTGTTGAACTAAAAGCATGTTGTAAATGAAAACTTACTCTCCTGTTGATCACTACTAATTTTTGTATTGCCTTCAACAAATATACATTCCATTAAATTGTGTATTTAGAACAAAAGTTATATTTAGTTAAGAATATAAAAATAAAAATATCTCAGACAGAAAATAAGCAATTCTTCGGAAAAATTTCTTATATTGTGATGTTTGAACAAATGTACTTAAGACCACAAAAATGTTCTTCGTAACTGATTTGTGGTTTACGAAAACGCTGTTTAATAGGAAAAAGCTGATGGAGTGTTCAGAGCGACACAAATTCTATATGAAACATCAATGTTGCTTTTTGTAATTACATTTCAGTTTTTGCTTTAGGAAAAACTGAAATGGAACAGCTTTAGGAACGCATTTTAGTCCTTGGTGATTGGTATATAAAGGGTAACAGTAAAAGAGCGATAATTGTTTGGCTTCCTTTGAGTCAAGTGCAAATCTGCTTCGAAAGAAAAGGTGGTAAAACTTTATTTTCAGGATGATCTCCAATTACATTGTATCCGCAGTCATGCTTGCTGCATATGTGACCTATGCAGCAGCTGCTAAAGGTAAATCACAGAAATTTATTTTCGTAGATTTCAGTATGCAATTCCAAATGTGTGAACCTTTTACTTAATAGACATTTTACTTAGACTACCTTAACGCTATAAAGCTGTATTTCCCATATATAACGTATTTCGTGTTCACAGCCGGGCCTTTCGTGTTTTTATTGCCTGGACAAAGTTCTCGGTATCATACAACGCACATAAAAATGTTTATAATACTCGTATTTCAGAACAACGTATACAGAAACAAGTAAAAGTTGAGTTTATTTTTCAAATGAAACTTTGGTTCCGACAATCTAAAATGTGCTACTTTTTACCTGTTTTTCTGTTAGCCAAATTGGCAATTACGTTCTAGAAGTTTGTTTAATTTCTCCAGTTACCCTTCTGTAAATAGTACAGTGAAATTTCTGAAACAAAAGGTAGGGGAGCTAGGGCCTAATTATAAACGGGTGGGTAGTAACACACATGTTATTTAACGATTTTTTAAAATTTTTTATCAGAATTTTCACTAAAAATTATTCTTATGAATCTATTACGTAAGCACAATCATTGCTCCGTCAAAACGGGTTTTGAGAGATCGTGTGCAGATGCTCCATTTTAGCCAGTTAACGAGAAAACAGTATTTCATAAACTGTGATTTAAGTTATTTGATCTTCTTAAAAAATGGCTTTAGGCATTTATTTTAACTATATATTAAGTTTTAAAATGCTTCTTTAATGTTTTCCTAACAGAAGTTAGGAAAACACTTTGCGGTTTTGCAAATTAACGCTGATTTTTGTTGTTTGACTTCTGAATTAGAAGTTTTTTTTTTTTTTTTTTTTTTTTTTTTTTTTTTTTAATAAATTAACAAAAATGTCCGAATCTTTAGCAAGTCGTAATATGTTGACCTTTGCCCCATCGTATGGTTTCGGAACATTCAAATTTTGATTAATATAGCTAGACTTCCTGCTTTAAATGTTAACATTCAAATTCCCTTATCCTACATGGTTTCTTTCCAGAAACAGAAAACTCGATTTTTTACCTTCAAAATCAGACCTAAGATTTCACTTAGGTCTGATTTTCAAAAGTACTAACAGAAGACGATCCAAAAGAATATCTGCCTTTTTAACTGAGCCGAGATGAAGCGCTTTAAAAAAATAGGAGAGATGATTAATAAGGAATGAAAACAATAAGATGAAGATAAAGGTTAAAGAAAATATCCAAAACGAAAAGATAAAAAATGAGTGAAGAAAATGATTTTAAACTAAAATACAGATTCGTAACATAAGAGGGGCTTTCCTGAACTAGCGGAGATGCTTACGGTGAACTCTGATGAAAACGAATGAGGCAATGCTTGTTTAGTTATCAAAATGGGAGCACATGTTCAATGTATGAGAGGAAACAATCTATAATTTTTTGTTTGTTTGTTTTAACTGAAGTTCTGATGAACAGTGACTTTTATGTTGACTTAATTAAATAATTTTCCCTTTATTTTACTATAAACTACTTGATATTACTCAGCGTTAATAAGCCAAGTAATAATAATCACCAAATATTTTCTAAATATTGTTATAAATATTTTTCCAAAAACGTTAACAAATTTCCCCAAGCTGTCTCCCTTATTTTTAGATCCTAAATGCATCTTAATAGATTTGTATTAAAAAAAAAATTCTGTTATAGCAACTACCCTTTACAGCAACTCTGAAGAAAATTCGCAGTAATACTACAATATTAGAAACTGGGCTCTGGAGAGCGAATTTCAAAATAAAAAATTCGAAGCGATCGTCCTTGCACCCGTCTGTTTTGTCGTTGTAGGAAGTAAAAGGGAGCAAAGTTCTGAAGTAATTCTCTGTCATTGAGGAATTCTTCCTTATTTATGTCACTGAGGAATTCTTTCTTTTTTATGACACTGACGAATTCTTCCTTATTTATGTTATCGTTAATTATAATTTAATTGCCTTTCGTATTTTTCATTCAAATGTTTCAATATAGTAAAAACATAGCAAGGAAATGAAGCTGTTAAAATCTTCTTGTCATTTCTCTGAATATTGTGTCCAGTACAGAAACTACTTTTTCTCAGTTCAATTTCAAATGACAATTCAGACTCTCTGGATTTTTTTCATCTCAGAAGTGTCTGAGTATCCCCTCAGATGACAGAATACAAACGTTTGTTCTCATTTTATGGAAACGATTTTGATAATTAAATTTTATACATAAAACATGTATTTCTTACGGCGATTTGCTTCGATTTGATAGCCTTGATTCCCGATTAGAGCTCGAATATTTCATGTAACTAAACTTTTCTTTAGGACGGTCATTTCGATTTTATATGACTCTTTTTGAGTCAATTTCCAGAAATCTAGCGTTCTTGGTTGCCATTTTCTTAACATTATAGATAGTTTTAACAAGCCGAAAGCAAAAAAAATCCGTAGTAGAAGAGTCAGGTGATTTTAAAGGTATTTCATTAAATGGGATGCACTTTATTCCTCTTTCTGATTCTTTCTTTGGTAAATTGATTTGGCAGTAGATTTTGGATCTGTCTTTGATTTGGCAGTAGACTTTGGCGTGTGACTAGAAACTCAACTTTAGTCATATCCTTTCCGTATAAGGCTGCAATTTCTTCTGCGAAAACTGGATCTAAAATATTTTGCTCATAGTACAGGAAACTAATTTTAACATTACTTGAGACTTTTTCAGTTTTAATTTACCGCTCAAACAAAATCGGGAAGTTATCATACGTCCCGTAGGGAATTGGTCTGTACATTGACGAAGCTATTTCTTACAATTATTTTCGTCAACTGAGCAATAAAAAATTAAAATGTTTTTATTGCAGTCGCTTAAATATATACCCACGCCTCATCGAGTGTTACTACAAATTTCAATTTATCGGCAGTTATAATGCTCTTCATATAACTTTCAACACTTTGTTTGGTATGAACAATATGGTTTGGCAAAAACAGATTAAATTAAATTTTAAACATCCATTTTAACTTGAAATTTTTAAGAATGATTTTAATTAGAGTGCCAGAATGCATTCCCAGTTTCAATGTAATGGATGTTTGGAGTCCAGGGATTTCTTTCAGGATAAAAGACTAACTGATTCCGCGTTCGAACAGTCATAGAATGCAGTTTTGTAGCTATTTTATTTTCCTTTTGATTTTGAGCTAGACGTTTTCCCTTTCAAACTGTTTATTAAAAATACCTTTGTTTGAAATGCAATAGCCTATAATTTTTGACGCCTTCCCAAATTGCTCATACATGTATTTTTCCTCGGAAAGTACATTTACCTGACTTTCGAGCCATCTATCCATTTAAGAAGTCATTTCCAAAATAAATCTCTTATTCTGCATTGCATTCCTCATCCCGAAAAAAAGAACTTCAGCAGAGGATTATACTTAAAATGTATCTTTATCTTAAAAGGGACATGCGAAAAGTTAAATAAAAAATTTCAGCGCGAACGACCTTCTGTAGTGGTGGTTCGACCTGGAATCAAAATCCATAGATATAAAATATATAGATTGGGTATCGTACCCCAAATGTGAGGCTGAAATTCGTTTCAATAATAATCATGCTTTTAGTATTTTGGACTAACGGAGATATCAACCTTTATTCACTAATTTTGCAAAAGAATTATGGAGACAGTCTTCGTACTGATTGATATTTCATATATTCAAAGGAAAGGATAAGGCTATTCGAAAGCGCAACAGCTTTAGAGATCCAGAAATTGCTACCCACTTTAATAGTAAGCACCTTATCTTTAGCCGTATTAAAACACTTTTTCGGAAGAAATATCTTTAATTCTTTATCCTGCAATATTCTAGATCAAGATCCTACTGAAATATACCTTGTAAACTTTAAACTTAATCAATAAGCAATAAGTAACTATTATATAATGATTAAAGTATAATATTGGTGTAAAGACCTGTCAGAAAAGTTACATCCTTCCTAATATATCTACTATATTTATTGAGATGTATATGAAATGTTTTCTAATTAAATAAATATAATTATTTCTCTTAAAGGAGAATAATTTCATGGTTTTTAGTCAATTAATCATGTTTTTGATGATACTGAAAGAATGTTAATAATAGAAATATTCTTGTGCTATCATAGGAATGTTTTGATTTTGTTAAAATTTTAAATATTTTTAACCAAATTTTTATTTTTTTAATTATTATCTTATTTAATCAATTAATTTGGTTTGTTTAATTCATTTTTAAGCAAACTGAATTTGAAAAGATTTCAGTTAGCTTCGTTTTAAGAGTACTGTATATACGTATTGTAAGTACTAGTAATAGCAATAAAATTTATAAATGCAATTATTACTGTATACGTTTAATACGTAATTATTGTATACTTTTTATGTATATCACAAAGAAGATATCGAAAGAAGTTATTTGCATTATATGACCTCCATAACGATTAATATTTCCCTTAAAATTTTAGGACATAGTTTTAAAAATTCTGCTCATTGATACATAAGCCGATTTTGAATTTTTTGAATAATATATTTCATAATTTGTATCAAATTTTTATAATATGGCTTAGGTATTTTGAGGTAAGTATTTAAATGCAGGGGGAGTAATAGATTGTGCAGCTTAAACTCTCTTCATAGAATTTTTTTGAATTTCTGATGAAACTAATATTTCCGTTATAAATACTGTTATGATAACGTTTATAGAATAATTTATTACATTTTTTGAAGCACAGTAAATAATTTAGAAATGTTATTATTTCATTTAGAAATCGTTCTGTAATTTTGTTAAATTTCTGCTCCTAATTCTCTCCTGAATGAGATTCTGAATTCCCATACTGAATTACGGAAAGAAAAATAGTATTCAGAAGTGAATTGGGAATTGAGAATTTAGTGAGTTGGGAAGAAAAATAGTTTTTACTCAAGATAAAGTATTCAAAGAAATCACCCCAAGATTTCCATAGCTACGTAGCTGTTTTTTATTCCGTCGAAACTTTTGAATGAAAATTATCAATGTCAATTAAATTATGATATTCCTCATTAAAGTAGA